TGTTGGCAGCTCAGCTCGGGCTGACTCGAACCACTGTTGCTCAGAGCTCAAACTCTTGAGCGAGCTCTTAACCAACTGAGCCATTCAGCCGGCCCAGATGTGCCCAATTTTTAAAAGTTTCCACATTACTTAACAGGAAAAACAAAACAAAACAATGACTGTACATGTCACTGTGTGGATATGCCACAATTTCTCCATGCAACATTAGGGCTGTCTCCATTGGTTTTGCTTTCACTAACAACGCTGCTATGAACATTCAGATACATGTCTCCGCGGGCACGTGTTCACGTTTCTCTACAGTAGTGTTTTCAAAATGCAGGTCACAACTAATTAGTGGGTCATAAAACCAACTGTGTTGCAACCAGAACGAGAGAAGAAAAACATTGGAAGACAGTACAATCAAAATATCAGAATATGTTTTGTGCAGTAAGGATAAATACTTTTGTGACATTTTTTAGTTTTATGTATTGTCATGCTGTATCTAAAACAGTGATTTTAAACTGTTTTGAAATATTCATTATGCAGTTTTCAGTTATTTTTATTGATTTAACTTTATTGAATTATAGAGAATACTTTAATTCTAAATTAAGTCTCTAGACTTATTTTTGTCTCATATTTTAAGCCTCCCATATTAAATATTATTACTGCTTTATATGGAAATATTTACCATGATTTACTTCATATTTGCCTGTTTACTTGTTCACCATTCCTTCTGGCACCCTACTCTTTCCTTCTAGGATAATGTTCATTCCTAAAGTACATGCTTTTGAAATTCCACTAGTACATAAACTCTCAGATTTTGTTTATCTGAAAATATTTTTATTTTGCCCTCATTCTTTAAAGAAGGTTTGATGAAGGTACTTCCTCTCCGCCTCTAAAGATATTCTGCTATTTTGGGCTATTATGGTTGCTATGCAAAGGCCCTCTATTTGTTGTTCTTCTAGAAGTATTGCATTTTCTTTCTGCTACCTCTCTGTATCTGGTATTTGGTACCTGTAACTCAGCCTGTTTGGTATACATTATACTTCCTGTAACTATGGGTTGATGACCATTTGAAAAACAATTTCACTTATTATCTCTTCACAATATCACCACTCCTCCCATCTCTCCTGCTGGGAATTTCTACAGAGCATGTTTGACTTTCTTAGTCTCTCCAATACTTAGTTTCTCATACATTGCGTCACATTGCCTCTTAGTGCAGAATTCATTGTCATTTCTCCAGATTTAACTTCAGTTTCATTAGTTCTTTGTCAACTGTTGTTTAACTCTTGGACTGTTTTTCAAATCTTCGTGTTTTATTTTAATAGTCTTTTGTTGCATGCTAAATTTATGATTCAATTTTTTAATTTCTTGGAACATTTTATACATAACTATTTTATATTTGCACCTGAAAATCCCAATACTGATTTCCTTAAGGGTCTAAATCTGCTTTTGTCGTCTCTGCTTTGTATGTGTGGTGGTTGTATTATGAGCTCCTGTTTGCTTTTCAATCTATAGCAACCCCAAGGACTAAATTAAACTGGGGGAGCTTTTCCCAGACAGAAGTTGGGTTTCCTTCTCCTGGGATGAGGACAACAGCCACCTCTGAGTTTATCTTGGACTCTTTTAGAGTTCCGGTTTAATGTGAAAGTCTCCGATTCAGATCTCCTGCTGTAGCACCCATATGGCCATATGCCCTCAAGACAACCCTGCTGAAAGATTCTTGAAACACTTCCTATATTTCTTCAAGCCCAGCGATGCATTAATAACCTAGGTTTTATCCTTATCTTGATTTAATTGGCTTTTATCAGAAGGGCCCTGTAGAGTAAGGACCTAGTCTCCCATACTTACAAAAATAGAAGTCTAAACATGTGTTTCAATTCTATGTATGTTCTACGTAACTCATCCTCCCTTTCAGTGCAAAAATATCATCAATTTGAGTTACATTTAGCATTACTACTTTAATATTAATAACAATAACATTAAAGCTACCTATAACTAACTATGAAAGCTTGAAATATTCAGTTAAGGTAGACAATGCCTAAAATGTTCCTCACAAAGCTAAAGGCAACAAGATGATTTCTTAGTTTTATAGAAAAGTGTAATTCAAAACCCCAAAAATGGAAACGTAAGGACTCTCAACATCTTATCAGACGGCTCAAATATAAAGAAATTACTGGAGAACACGCTGAATCCCAACACTGACACTGAGGGAGTAACTGTCCTCTTGATCCTGGAGGGAGGGATTTGCTGAACCATAGACTCCTGGTTCATGGCTATGAGGGCCCCAATCCCTGAGGGGACTGGAGTGTGTGTCAAGGACCTAAGAGCTGGCCTCAGGGAAAGCCAAGCCAGGGCTGTGGTCACTCCTGAGCACTAGGCGGTCAGCCCTATGATAGTAAATCATGGTCACCATTACAGTGGACAAGGGAAACCCACATCACTGTACTCCATGCCTGTGTTAGGATGGCCGAGCAACAGGATTGGCAACTATTACATTTTCCCTCAGATATGTTGCCACGGATAATAAGGAAGTACCTAGATGCTGTCTTGAATTTTATGGCAACTCATCTGTCACTATGCATGAAATGAATGAGAAATGGAGGATGAGATATTTAACTGTACATTCAATTCTCTACATCCAGACAGCTAAGAAGCATGGAATCATGAATGAACATAAGTGGTGTTCAGGCCCAAAAGATTTCTGTCAGGACTGACGAGCCCAAAGAGCTAAGGGAAAACCAAAGCTAAAGGAAACAAGGATGAGGATATGGGCTCCCATGAAGAGAGGTGACCTCAGGGGGCATTATTACCAAGTGGAGCCAGGTTCTGCTTCTGGGTGCCCCATAGCAATTGGAGCATACTGCAGGGCCAGCTCTAGAAAGGCCTGTCTGCTTCCAAGGGAAGGACTCAGGCTGACTCATTTCTGTTTCCCTGCAGCTCAGCAAAGGGCTTAGCTCAGATTATAGGTGAAATGCAGACTTTCTAACTGAGGCACAAACAGCAGGCTCACCACCGTGGTACACCGACATGTGATTAATAAGTATAACAATGTTAAGCTGATTCACCTGTAAATACAATCTATCATCAAAACGGTTGCTGAATAATTAGTAGAGGGCTCTAAAAAGCAAACAGCAGGCAGCAATCAGTTGACAAAAGCATATAGTGCTGAAAAAAACTCTCATTCCAACACCAGAATGGCACTGCAGGTCCTTGTTAGGTGTGACTTACAACATCTTGGGCTCAGGTCCTGCTGGCCCTGTGGCTGAGACACTCACCTTCTCGTTGTAGTTGATGGCAATCACATCCCCGGTGGTCAGACAGGCAAAGTTTCTCAATGCGTTTTCTAATCTGCAAACACACATTGTCAAGGCACAAACACAAACCATGGCTTCAAAATCCGCCACTGTGACATGGCACATCCCAGAGAGGACCTCAGAGTCTGAGGGAGAAAGAGCTAGGCTGTCTAGGTTCACTTCTCTTGGTCACACAGCCTTCCAGAATGACAGCAGCTTTGCGTAAAGGGCCTTGTGTGGGACGCTATCTTCAATCCTCATCTGAAACGCCATGCTACGGAGGTGCCCTGCCCTCAACTTCTCCCGGGGACAGCAGACCTGTCAGACCCAACCCACTCAGCCTTTGAGGGCAGAAATGGCTCCCGCGTCGCTGCTCTGTGTGCACCCCCCCATTCTCTGCTCTATGCTAAGACTGTCATCCAGACCATGGAGCACTGGGTTGACTCTCAGCTGATGAAAGTGATGCCCTTTCTCCGTATACTAACAAGTTAACTCTGCCAATAGATACAGTTAAGTCTGCAGGTAAAAATCCAGAGAAAAATCACAAGGGACTACAGTAACAGAGGCAGACCCCACTCCTGGGCACTGACAGCTAGACAAGTACCTCCAAGCAGAGCTCTAAAAAAACAAGGTAACCAGGCCTTGCCACAGGATGTTGTCCTGCCAGGAAGCCTCCACCACTGACTGCCAAGAGCAGAAAGCCCAACAACTCCACGTGTCCAAGACCCGGCCGCAGGGGACTCAACACACTAGTCCACAGACACAGTCAGTGGAGGGCTCAACATGGCCCACCGAGTCCAGGACATGGCCGGCAGCAGCTTGCTCTTAAGCTCAAGCCTACAGAGAGTGTACAAGTAGGACAGGTGGAGACACCTTTTCTTTTACTGTCTACTTATCTGTGTTTTTGTCAAGCATGCATTTTTAAAAATAAATAGGTGATGGAGTGACCACTCTATAACATGATCTCAACAAACCAAACTGGGCCTCCAAGCTAGAGATAGCACACACAGCACAACAGCACACCCCTCACCCATACTGGTCACTCTTTAAATTATAAACATGTCTGGCTTACGTTCAGAGAGGAACATTAAAAAAAAAAATCACTAGAACCTAAAACCTTTGCTTTTCTCTTGCTGAGAAAAAGAAAACATACTAAGTCAATGCTTCCTATTGGTTTGGAGTGAAAAGCCCTTAAGCCTGGGTAAAAGGGGAGGTTGAGTGGCAAGTTCATGGGCACCAGTAGCCCACAAGGGGTTGGAGTCTGAGACGCAGACCAGCTGGCCCCCTTCTACCAGCACACACTGGGCTTTGTGTTAGGTGTCACAGCCCACCTGAAGGAAGGGCTCCACTCTGCCCACAAGGAAGGGTCAACAGAGCATCCAGAAGATGTCCATGGAATGCCCAGCATACTTGTCCAGGCCCAGGTCCAGGAGCCATGACAGATGTGCTGGCTGAAAGCCATTATTCTCAAATCACAACTCCAATCACAGTAAGTTTGTGCTCCCCAACTGGGCACATATTAAACAAAGTGCTTGCTGTTTACCTGCAAGTATACTCCTCTTTTGTCCAGAAGAACCCTTCTTCTTTCAAAAGGATACACTGCTTTGGGGTTGGTAATGTCCAGGAAGTCAGGGCTCTGAGGCTGAAATTTGGAGTATGTGGCCACTTGGAGGTTGACACTCTCTACTTGAACCAGGCCTCCTTCTTCCAACAGCAAATTTTGCATCATCTAAAGGAAGAAAACTACATGAGGCGCTTGGAATTCAAGCGGCCAGCACTGACTACACACCAGCAGGCCAAAGTCTGACATTCAGATAGCCACTTCCTTGGGACCCTGGCCTGAAAGACCCACACCTGTTCCATGCTGACTCACCTTGAAGCAGCCCAGGAGCCCTGAGTGGTATGGAGCCTGCCAATCAGCCAATAGGATGCATGTGCTCATACACCCGCTGAGGGTCAACTCAGTGGCAGCAGCTGGGAAATCCCAGGCAACCACCTACTCTTTCCAAGAGCTGGAAGGCCATCCCAGGAAGAAGTGGGCTGGCAGCTCCATGCTATCTGAGGAGGCATCCCAGGGGGTGTGACGTTTCTCAGCAAAAGGGATTCAATTAGTTTCTGGTCTAAAGTGGTCTGAGAACTTGGACAAAGGGCCACCCAAACTCTAAGTCTGTGGGTTGGAGAAAGAATCTTTGAGCTAGTGGTATCCCAGTATCACCTCCTCCTCTTTCACCTCTATAGAGGGGCCATGAAGGGGTCTCTGTGGAAAGCCTTAGTGCTCTAGAGAGGCTCTATTTCCGTGGCAATGAAATTGAGTGCTTTGGAAAGATTTAGTTACAGGCAAGTGTGTAAATACATATCCGTTGCAACAAAATTGGTGGAGAAACTATGAAAAATGGGGAGAAAATGTGTAAAACTCTAAATTCTGTACTTAGACCATTTGAAAAATACTCCTGCTTCATTATATTTAAAAAGCCTGATATAGGAGGTAAATGGCATGGCTGCAGTATCTAGACTACCAAATGAGCAACCATCAAAGAAAAGGCCAACCCCAGCATGTGGCACACTGTTCTGAATGCCATCCCTCAATCTGATTTGGGGGTAGGACTCCCCAAGACAGACCCAGACTCTCGAGACCAGGGCAGCCCAACTCACCCAATGTGGGAGGTAGCAGATACCCTCGTCAGCCACAAATTCCAGCACACCGCAGTGCGTCATGCGGTCCGAGTTCTTGTTGGTCAGTTTGAAAAGCATGGGGTAGGTAATGTTGAGTCGGCCTAAAATCAAAAGAGAGGCTATGAGGCAAGGCTTCTGCAAAGGAGAGAAACCCTGTTCCCCCAACGTGCTCCCCTGGTAAGCGGCCTCCCTAGTACCCACCATGGCTCCATACAGCCTTGCCCCCCACAGCAGGCATTTGGACAAGTGTGGTGCTTAGCCTCTCGGTGACAGCCCACCCACAGGACCACCCCACCTCCTGAGAGAGCACAGCACTTGGCCTAGAACTCAGGAATGTTTGGTGACTCAAGTACACAGCAATGGCTTACGCTTGTGATTTTCTGAAATTCCAATTTTAAAAAGTGGCACGTTCACTCATTTATTTGTTCACTCATAAATAAGTGTCAACCATGTGCTGGACAAAATCCCCACGAATATTTCTAGTTAGAAAGGTGAGAAAAAAAACAAGTGCACCAGAGGCAGTGGTGCAGGGGGAAGGGTGGGGCGGAAGGAGGCAGGGCTCCTAGAGGGTGCCTTCCAGGCATCATGGTGCACAGGCCAGGGAGGGAATTCCAGGCAGAGAAAGCAGCCTGAGCAAAATCATGGAGGGAAGGGGAGCCTAGCCAGTTCAGGAATGGCTGGTAATTAGGTGAGCCTGGGGCATGGGGACAGGGTGTGGGAGGGGTCTGGAGGGCAGGCTGGGCTGGACGTCACGCAGGGTGAGACCAGTCAGCAGTGTGGGCTCTCAGCAGGGTCACAGCACAGTACATCCCCTCTGTGTTTGAGGCCGCATGGAGGGCCATAGGCAGGCAAACACGACTGCTGGCATACTGACCCAGGAATGCAGGAGGCACAGAAAGGAGGGGCTGGTGATGTGAAGCAGAGCTCAGGAGAGCTGGGGACCAGGACAGAATGACATAGTGACGGTGTCTGCTGCATACCAGGCCCTCACTAAGTCTTCCCAGAACAGTGAGGTACTATCATTACCCCTTTTATCTATGGGATACTAAGGCACACAGGTTCAGCAACATGCCCAGGATCACAAGGCCCAGAAGTGGCAATACTGGGATTTAAACCAGGCTGCTGGCCCAGGTCTGGGATTTAACCACTGAGGCCCACTTTATTCTGTTGGTTTAGGCAAACATGGCAAGACAAGTTCCATTCAGGAGCAGAAGGCATGGAAGACTCCATTTGGGGTCTCCCTAAAAATGCTGGTGAAGCAGATCATGTAACAATCTTGGGTATGAAGCCACAGGTAGGGGAGAGTCTCGAGAAGTGGGGCTTCATCACAGAGGCAGTGGTGGGCACGGGTATTCCCCCATCACAAAGGGTGACCTGAATGCTGGCAGAATGTGGCCAAGTGCCCAAAAGCCAGCCTTCCGGCCTCAGGGAGCCTCCCAGCTATAGAGCTGTGGGATAGAACGGAAGTCAGTCATGGTGAATTGGATCAGGTTCCAGCCAAAGGTCCAAGATTCTTTCAGTTGGAAGAAACCTCTCTCTGTTCTTCAGTCTGCTGGTTTTCAAACTGTACTTTTTTTGTGATTTAAAGAAGTACCTTGGAGTTTCCAAGCCCTCTGCACCCTCTCACTTCTTCCAAACTAAGCAGCGACCGTTTTTATAAATTAGGACTTCCCGTAAGATTTCATTTGGACGGTTTCTCCCACTACTTAAAAGGTTTGAACTACACTCATCTAAACCCCACTGTCCCAATCTCTGACTCTCTTCTCAGACACTTGTGCCAAGGGTCACACTTGGTGCTCAGCTCTTGGGTCAGCCCAAATGGAAAGGCAGGCTCTCTGTGGGCCCTGACCTCTTCTGTGATGACAGGGATCTGCCTTAGGGATGTGAACCCGTGACTCTATCCACCCACTGGTTGAGCTGCGGCCAGGATTAAAGGCCTCCGCTGGGTGTGGCCACTGTTGTTGGCATCGGTGAAGCCCTGCTGGCTAAAGGCCACCTCGTGCCTTCTGACTGGTGCCATACAGGTTTGGGCTGTTTATGAACACACCACAAGGCACCATCTTGGAGGAGGTACTCCTGCCACCCAGCAGCTGATAAGACAAGCGCTGTGTGTCCCCATTGAAAGATGAGGTCATGAAGTTCAGAGACGCCAAGTCCATTCTAGAACCAGGCCAAGCAAGGTGCAAAAACCAAGCCAGAGTGACACCAGAGCTGGCACCCCTTCTCCATTGTGCTGCCCCAAGTGTACTGGACACGAAGTATACTTCCTGATCGTGGCTTTCACGTCTCCTGCTTCAGATGGGAGGAACTCAGAAATACCACTGAATCTCAAAAGGCAATGACTGAGTCTGTGTTCAGGGTTTTCCGTGTCCAGGCGGAGTGGGGCCGGGGCATGGAGTCTCTAAGTTGCTCTCATGAGAGGAGAGGTTGGAAAAAGAGAGGGAAAGCCTGGCTGCTCTCACAACCAAAGGACCTTTATCACTCCTGGTAAGAGGCAGGAGCCAGTAAGAGGAACAGCTTCTGGGGCTGAAGACTCAGTTTGGACGTGGTGCAGATGCACTGGGACACGGGGTAGAAATGCAGGCCTGGAGCTTAGGAAAGAGGCCTGGGGAGGAGATGAGAGCCCTGCTGCACAGCATCCTCTTGGAAGCTGACCACCGTCCTCTAGGAGAAAGCCCAGTGAACCTAGGCAACGGCATCAGCTGCCCTGGCAGTGTAATAAGCACCGGTGATAAGCACCTTTAGTCCTGACAGGAGTAGAGACGGGTGGAGGGAATGGGATGGGTATTCAGGGGAGAACCCCTTCACAGAGGAGAGATCTGGAGTTGAATACTCACTGGCCCCTACCCTGGACAGCTGGCCACCACGGGCCATCACCTCACCGGGGCATGTGTGACCCCAGCTCTCCAACCCAGTATGCACCCTCCAGGGACAATTCTCAACCAGACATGATATCCATATTGACATTACCTCAGTTCTCAAGTCATGTAGAAAATACTTACTGAGTTGATCGAGGGCTGAGGGTGGCATAATTACTGTGGAAAAAAACATTCAAGAAACATTAAGAATATAAAAATTAAAAGGACAGAACAAAAGCCAAAATGCAGTTTCTGTTCTATCTTTAAAAAGTATTAAACAGATGGCAGGCCGAGTGGCTCAGTTGGTTAAGAGCTCACTCAAGAGTGCGAGCTCTGAGTATCAAGGTTGCTGGTTCGATTCCCGACCCGAGTTGAGCTGCCACTGAGCTGCCAACAGGTGGCAGGATGGCTCAGCTAAGAATAAAAAATTAAAAAAAAGTATTAAACAGGATCAGCCAAGTGGCGCGTTAATAGTTGGCTTGGGACGCCAGCTCTGAGCAGCAGGGCCCAGGTTTCGATCCTACATTAGGGCCAGTGATGCTGCGCCCTCTACAGCTAAGATGGTGAACAACAGCTCGACCTGGAGCTGGGCTGCCGTGAGTTGCCAGCGATGGCATAGACTGCAGCCCCTACGTGAGTAGCCATGAGCTGCCGTGAGCCGCTGTGAGCAGCCGTCCAATGGCCAGCAAGCGACTGCCTCACCCAGGAAGAGCACAATGACAATACCAACATGGGCCAGTGAAGCAACGTCCTCCACAGCTAGACTGAAGAACAAAAGGACAGCAACTTGTCTGTTCTTCTTCCCAGATTCCCCAACGCTGTTCCCCTCCTCCAACCCCCAATAAACTCTTAAAAAAAACAACAAGTATTAAACAATACTTGTAAGGTAGCCAAAATTTAATAATAATCTTTCATAAAGGACTTTCTCTGCTGTAATTTATTTTGGGGAACTGAATGGCTACTAGCCATAAATCAAATCATAATTCGGGCCCCCCACACACACCCTGTACATCTAGAACAAGCAACATTTTCACTCTAAGTAGCCTCTGTTACACATGTAAAATAAGGACTGTTTAAGACTATAAGCACTGCAGGCTGAGGACAGGAAAGGTTACTATTCAAAATAAAAACAAGCACATACTCTTCCCGCCTTTCTCCACATCTGACCTGTCATTAGGCCCTGCGAGCATGGACACGGAGAAGCAGCGGTACTGCGTGGAGAAGCGGTTCTGGAAGACCCGAGGAATTGGGTGGTCAAACATGTTGAAAGAGAACTAGAAGGAGGAAAGAGATGCCGGAGTTAGAACTGAATAAAGGTACCTTTTTTCTCATCAAAAGCCAAAACAGGTCAGGGTAGTTAATGCTGCTAAACATCCTCAAAGAATAAGATGCACCAAAATCCTGACGGACCAGAGTCATCTGCCTGAAGCATTTCCCAGTAGCATGGTGAATCTCAAATCTGTTTCCATCCTTTCTGCCATACCTAGTCTGTCCCTCTGATCTAGTCTCCATTTTTAGATGGTGCAATCTTACTAAAATAACTAGGCATGTCAAGCCTGTTCTTAACCTTTTTCAGCACCCCTTACTCCCCCCACACACACACCCCTGCAATCCGGTCCAGACCTCACAAACCTCAGGGACTGGTTACTAATGGCCCCACAACATCCTACACATGCTACCCTCCCCCAACCCAGGAATAATTCCTCTGCCTGGTACACTTTTCCTCTTCCTCTTCTCATTAATTAAAAAAACATCTATTTCTTGAGTGCCACTATCTGCCAGGCTCTGATTAAGAACTAGGGAAACATCACTCCAGTGATGTCTGTTCACTAACAAAACAAGTACAACCTCAGCCCTGGCAGAGCTAACATTCTGTCATTCCCAAGACAAAAGAAAGAAGCAAGAGAAAACACCTACATGTGAGGAAGTGATAAATGCTCTGAGGACAAGAAAGGTTAAGGGACAGAGAGCTCCTGGAAATTCTAGTTTAAGTGGGTGGTCAGGAAGGGACTCTTTACAGAGACCTGAATGCCAGGATCGGGAGCCAAGCAGAAAACAGGGAACAGCATTTGAGGCAGTGGAAAGAGCAGGCACCTGGTGTTTGCATCCCTTTCCCTGGCTTCCGTGACCATCCTTTCTCCAGGAAACTTTGCTGCTCTGCCCAGGGTCAGGGCTGGTGTCCGTGCAATGTGCCGTCACATTGTGCCACACCATGGAACTGCCCCCTCCAGTTGATAAATAAAGCCAAGACATGCTGCCATCAAGAAGGTAAGATTCTAGCTCTTACACTGTGCATTATAATGAGGCTTAAAAAACACGTTACACAGCAATCTGAGGTCAAAATATTGCAATTATTATGATGTTTCAAAAATATGTATGTAAAATTGCACAATAGGGTATATTCCAAAAGAACTGAAAGCAGGGTCTCAATATTTGTACACCTATGTTCACAGCAGTGCTATTCACAATAGCCAATAGGTGGAAACAATCCAAATGTCCACTGATGGATGAATAAAGAAAATGTGGTATATACATACAAAAGAATATTGTTCAGCCCTGAAAAGAAAATTCTGACACGTTACAACATGGAAGAAGCTTGAGAACATTACGTTATGTGAAATAAGTCAATCACAAAAAGACAAAAACTAAACAATTCCACTTATGAGGTCCCTAGAGTAGTCAAATTCAGAGACAAAAAGTAGATAGAATGTTGGTTGCCAGAGGCTGAAGGGAGGAGGAAACAGTGTTATTTAATGGGTACAGAGTTTCAGTTTTGCTAGATGAAAAAATTCTGGAGACCCATTACACAATAATGTGAACATTACTGAACTGTACTCTTAAAAATGGTTTTATAGGGGCAGCCAGTTAGTTCAATTGGTTAGAGCACAGTGCTCATAACACCAAGGTTGCCAGTTCGATCCCCACATGGGCTACTGAGATGCGCCCTCCACAACTAGGTTGAAACAACTACTTGACTTGGAGCTAGCTGATGGGTTCTGGAAAAACACACAGTTCCCCAATAAAATTTAAAAAAAAAAGGTTAAGATAATAAATTTATACTATGCGTTTTGTACCACCAGTTTTTAAAAAATCTCACAATAGACAAATATTTCTTGACATGATTCCATATAGACATTAAGTAGAGGGAAAGTCATCTACTGCTAAGGTAGTTTACTAGCAATTCCAGAATTAGCAAGCGGAATCAGCCTTCTTCCTAAAATGGAAATACAGCACACTTCTGCTTAAAATCTCAAATGGTTCTTCACTTCCTGTGTTCTAGTACAGTAGTTTTCAAACCTTTGTCTCTTCTTTTAACCAGCAGAACTCCTCAAAATCTTGGCTAGAGTATAACAAATGAAAAGTGTTTCTGGATGAAAGATGGGAGAGGAGTCCCGCCTCCCTAAGTGCCTCTCACTACCCCTCATCTAAGCCACTTCTTTTTGCAACATGAAAGGAAAACGTGCAAAGTATTTAACACCTATACCAATCTGCCTTCAAAACACCAGTGAACCTTTCTGCCCCTCCCTGCTGCTCCCCACCCCTTTTACTTTACTTACCCTACTTCTACTTTACTTTTATAATCTCAATGCCTAGCATACTGCCTCCCACATATCAGTTATTCAAATCTGTTATGTGGATAAACTTGAGGACAGAAATATGATTTGAAACTAACACACAGACTAAAAATCTAATAATCATTCCTTATTTTCACTAAAATAAACAGGTGACACTGAGGCAGTGATTACAGTGATGAGACTGAACTTTGCAGCCAGACAGATTTGGCTTTAAACTTTCACAAACTATCTCTTTAAACCCTAGTTTTCTCATGGTTAAAACGTTAAGAATCATCCTTGCCTCCAAAGGCACTGTAGGGATTAAATGGAATAAGGTGTAATGAGGGGTTGTAGGTGTTAATGAAAAACTGTGTTACAGAAAAAGCGCCAGCAAATATTAGCTACGATTTATCCTTACTGAATCACTTAAATAGCGGAAGGCACGATCACCATCCAGGCATCACCAGAAGGTACTGGATGTCCCCCCAAGCATTCTTCCTGGAAAGCCCCTGAATCTGCAATAACTTTTCAATTAACTTGGTGTTTATGGAAACCTGTTATGTGTCTCACACTTGCGAGACCCGTTGGTGGACTCAAACATGGAAGGAGCTCAAGTCTAACTGAGGAGGAATGAGAACCATATCCTCAACTAGCGGAGAAGAGTAGAGGCTGTTTGTAGTCAAGGGTCTGGGTCTTGTCCGATGCGCCCAAACGGGCAGATGGGCCGGGCTCAGGCCGGGGTGACTCGGCATCTCCGCAGCTGTTAAGTTCGCCCCGCTGGCCCCCAATCCCGGTCCCCGGCCCCAGCCTCAGTGTCCAGCCCCTGCCCAGCCACGCTCACCATGATGGCACCTCAGCCTCCCAGATGCTGCCTCGTCTAAGGAACGTTACGACCGGAGCCCGCCGACGTGCTCTCCTCACAGCCGCAGCCGCCGCCGCCTCTGCTCGGATGCCCTGGGCTGCTCACCGGAAGTGCCTGACTTTAGACCAGAAGGGAGGTGCCGAGGACAGGGCTCGGCTGCAAAAGAGAAAAGGCCAGGCAAAGGCGCCAGGGCTCAAGATTTCCCCGAAATAAACAATAAAGTACCCTTTCGAACTTTTTGTCCACTCTGGAGTAATTTAAATTTTTATTTTTAATTACGTTTTGATAGTACCCTCCTCTAGGTGAATTTAGTTGGGCCCGTTCTCCTTACTGACTACACTACCCAGAATGCACGTACATCTTCCGGCCTTTGCTTCAGCCATCGAGGACTCGGGCGGAAGTAAGCTATACATCTGCCTTCGAACTAGACAGAGAGCCTATTGAAATCATAAACCGACGCCTTCGTTCGATGTATAAATAAGTTTAATTGAAGGTGAGGTGGATTCTTTTTCCTGGGTTCCAGTGGGGGAGGAGGGGGTAATAGGCTTTTCTGCCCAAACTAAAGATGTCCACCGAGCGTCTGGGTAAATGGGCGTTAGAGTTGAAATGTGCAAACGTGGTTCCGTCCTGCCTGGTGATAACGCTCCTTTAGGTCCGGCCAGAATTTTCCAGTCGTGAATGGCGGAGAGCTACTGTCGCCGCAATACGAACCAATCATAAAGCAGTAAAGGCTGGGAACTAGGTACCTATTGGTTGACTCGTGGGCCAATCGGAAGAGCCCTGATTTGGCGGGAGTCTTGACCTCCGCCGGGGCTCTTGGTGTCTCAGTGCGAGCTCTGGGTGTCTGGCTGCCGTGGTCATGTTTGTGTCCGATTTCCGCAAAGAGTTCTATGAGGTGGTCCAGAACCAGGTGACCCCCTTTCTTGGACCTCGAGGCTTTGTCACGGGGAAGGGATGAGGAGGGGGAGCGGCCGTGGGAGGGCGGGAGGTGCCCGGGTTCTAGGCGCTGTACTCAGTTCTCCCTATCTTTCCCCAACAGAGGGTCCTTCTCTTCGTGGCTTCGGACGTGGACTCTCTGTGCGCTTGCAAGATCCTTCAGGTGAGCACTGAGGACTCTGGGAGGGTGGAGCCTGGCGAGAGGTGAGGGTGCAGGGTAGACCTGGACGGGAGGTGGGGGCTTACAGAGCCCTGAGGGAACAGGGTGGGGTAGGGAATTGTGCGAGAGGTGAGAAGCAAGGTAAGGAACCCCTTCCCGGGTGAGAGCTCAGGCTGGGTGGGATCTGGAGCAACAACAGCTGAAAGCTGGGGAAGGGGACTCTTGAGAGGTCGCCTTTCTGGCAGTACAGTATTGGATGGGTTAGAGAAGGACGAGGCACAGTCAAGGATGCTAGTTAGTATTTTTGCAATAGCCTAGGCAAAAAATTGGCTGCATTAGACAGACCGGTAGACTTGTAGTGGCTTCTCAAATGTGGGATTTGAGATAGAGGAATCTGAAAACTGAGGGCATAGTGATGCCACAGCAATGCAAGAAATACAGGATTCCTTAGTCTATTATGGAAGATCATTGGTTCAGTTTTGAATATGGTGTGATGGATGTTTACATGAGCTTTGATTAGGCCTCGGTTCTGGACTTCTCAGAAGACCTAGAAATCAGATCAGATTTTCTCCCAATGTTTTTTTTTGTTGTTGTAATCAGATCAGATTTTCTCCCAATGTTTTTGTTGTTGTTGTTGTCTGGACTTCTCAGAAGACCTAGAAATCAGATCAGATTTTCTCCCAATGTTTTTTTTTGTTGTTGTAATCAGATCAGATTTTCTCCCAATGTTTTTGTTGTTGTTGTTGTCTGGACTTCTCAGAAGACCTAGAAATCAGATCAGATTTTCTCCCAATGTTTTTTGTTGTTCTTGTTGTTCTCGGTTCTGAACTTCTCAGAAGATCTAGAAATCAGATCAGATTTTCTCCCAATGTTTTTGTTGTTGTTGTTGTTCTCGGTTCTGGACTTCTCAGAAGACCTAGAAATTAGATCAGATTTTCTCCCAATGTTTTTTGTTGTTGTTGTTGTTGTTGTTGTTTTGGTATTTTAAAATACTCGACAAAGTTTACATAATAGTACAGTGAATACTCACATCCCCATCACCTAGTTCCTCCCATTAACATTTTAATAGCTCTACTGTATCACCTGTTATTTGTCTCATAACCCATCTTATTTTTTAAAGTGCATTTGAAGGTAAATTAGACATTCTAAATATGATAAGTTTTGAAAATAATCTCTCTCCAGGCCCTGTTCCAGTGTGACCACGTACAGTATACGCTGGTTCCAGTTTCTGGGTGGCAAGAACTTGAAACTGCATTTCTTGAACATAAAGAACAGGTAAGTGAGATGTATTTTCGAATAATTAGACTTTTTTTTACTCAATTGCAATTTCTTATTTAAGTATCAACTATATTAGGCAATACCAAAGAGAAAAATGAGCTATATATCTGGATGACTTACCCTCAAGGCAACAAAAAAAAAGATAGTGAATTTTGACAGCCTCTAACCTTGAACTTGTGTTGCAGACATTTCATTGTAAGGTGCTTGGAATTTAGCAATTAGTTTTAGATATGGCTTAGTTAAAATTATCTTAGGGCCCTTGAGCCATTCTCTACTGCTCAGGCCTGCTTCTACTTCTTTGAAATGTACTATCTCTTCGAATAAACTACTTTTTCAGTACTTTAAAAAAATTATCTTAGATTAGGCTACGATTTTACATTATCTCTCCAAGAAAATGTATCCCAGTTTCCAACTTGGAATCCAGGAAAATATTTTCTCCCTTTATAATTTAAACGGTGCATGCCAGGATTCCTCTCGCCTCTACACGGGGCCATGAGAGTTGGGACATCTTAGACCCCCACTTATGATCTCATTTCTATACACAGACACACACCCTACCCTCTCTGCATGGTTAGTGTTCATTCTAATACTATAGAGAGAAAAGCATTTTAAAAATCATAAAGCACTTAAAATATGAATTGTTTCAGTAAGTTTTTTCCAGATAATTTGGTTTCTGGGTCTCACCTCTATTCTGTTTTAGTAACTTTATTCTTTTCCATTGAGTGCTCCTGGGTGGCACTAAGATAAAGAAGGAATATATAAAGTTACAAGAACCTAAAAGAGTAACTAGTTGGAGAAAACTATTTTCACAAGATCCTGTTCAAGAATTAGGTTTACTAAGAAGTAGTTTTTTGACAAGCCCCCTTGAGGAGGAATCTCAAACCCCAAAAGGCGTACTACATATGGACAAAATTATTCTAAATAAGAAAGGGAAAGAAGTTCTGGCCACTCTTGTGGGTGATGAGAAGAAGATGAGGAAGGTAGAATAAACTCAGTACCAGGCATAATGTGAGAGATTGAGGGGCTGGAGTATGAAAGGGGGTCCCTGGAGTCTCTGGCCATATCTAGAACTGTCTGGCAGAGGTAAACCCTTGCCTGGAGCTCCTGTTATCATGGGACGGACCTCTGCCAGTTCTGTATTTATAAGGAAATGATTTTCTATAGTGATAGGATATAATAAAATTCTTAATATTTAGGCGTCCCGTTAAGTATGGGCTATCCAAGATTTGCTAAAATTTTAAAACTGTGGCAAGCTATTAGCATGGAGAGGCAGTTTGTCACAGTAGCATGATTGATACCTGGAGAGGCCCAGTTATTCATTTGAAGTCTTGGTCTGCTCCTCATCAGCTTCTTGACCCTGTGTATGAGACTCCCACATTCTGAGCCCCTGCAGACTCCTCAGTGAAGTAAGGATGGCCACAGGACCTACCTCATGGTGTTGTCATGGAAATGAAGTAGTATATGGAGTATGTTAAAGCACAAAGCACAGGCCATTAATGGCTATATTTGGAGCCCCTTACCCTCAGGGCCTTGCCAAGTGTTGGGTTTGATCTCACCAGAAGGACTCAGGTCTAGTGTGCTGAAGGTAAAGGGGCCTTCTTGATGCACTTACTTCACAATATTTCTCTTCTTTTTTCAGTTCCGTTATTTTATCCTCATAAACTGTGGAGCTAACATAGACCTATTGGATATCCTTCAACCTGATGAAGATGCCATATTTTTTGTGTGTGACACCCATAGGCCAGTCAATGTCGTGAATGTATACAATGATCCCCAGGTAACTAGGCCTTTGGGACCCATGCCTCCTTTGAGTTCTCCCAATGATCTGTCTGTTCATTTTATGCCACAGACAGCATTGCACCTGGTGTTCTTATTAAGACATGTACCCACCTCCTCTAGGATTGGAGCAGCCTGAGGACAAGAACTTCTATTTGATAAGAAACATGGCACCTAACCCTTGGAGGTGCTCAGACTGCATTTGTGGAATTTGCTTGATCTGGGAGGTATAGGGGCCAGAACCCTACACCAAGTTTGCCCTCAGCTCAGGCCCAGCCCAGCCTCACTGAATATCAAGGGACCTCAGAGCTATCTGAGTTCATCTGATGAGTGGTGTGAGGACCAGAAAGACGGTGGTGTGAGAGGCCACTTTTAGCCTAAAATGGCTCTGTTGCGCTTATCTTCTAACCCCTGAGCAGCAAGCACGGAGCCTGGCGCAGAGCAGCCACCTAAGCTTCCTTTGAGTTGATCTCCCTCCCACATTAACAAAGTGTCAGGCCCGAAACTATGTGAAAAACTTCTCCAAGAGAAATAAGCCCCCTCGGAACTGCTTTCAGAGGCGAGTTTTACTCACTTCAGGGCAAGTTCTGGGGTGTTTATTTTGTTGGTTTGGTGCCGGGGTCGGCAAACTTTTGAGACGGAAGAGCCGCCAGTGGTCAGCAAACTGCGGCTCGCGAGCCACATGCAGCTCTTTGGGTACATANATGTGGCTCTGAAGTAAAATTGAAAATGAAAATAAAACTATCATAGTTTCATTTATAAAATTTTTAAAGGATATTATTCACATAATGGTGATTATATAAAAATGTATTTATGGCTCTCGAATAGTTTTTAAATTGTTGTGAGGGACAGGATTGGCTCTTCCAGGGATCGGCAAACTTTTGAGATGGAACATATCCAAAGAGCCGCATGTGGCTTGCGAGCCGCAGCTTGCCGACCTCTGGCTTGGTGTATGGCATAAGAGGGAGCTTTTTCCCCAGACTTAAGTGACTGCAGATAGTTTTCAAATTTTCTAACTTTTGCATACGGTGTGGTGCAACTCCAGTACCTCACTGAAGGGATATGAAAAAATTTTAAATGCCTGAGAAGTCTGAAATTCTTCTCAAACAGATGGCTATTTGTATGTACAGAAAACTTATGAATTAGCCAATTAGGAAATGAGATTCTTTAAGAAAAACATGTGATGGATAGTTTTCTGTCAAAGAGAGAAAAGACTTGATTGCTCTGTTTTAATCTTAGATCAAATTACTCATTAAACAAGATGATGACCTTGAAATTCCCGCCTATGATGACATCTTTAGGGATGAAGAGGAGGATGAAGAGCATTCAGAAAATGAAAAGGACGAATCAGAGCCTTCTGAGAAGCGCACACGGTTAGAAGAGGTAGGTTTGGGGCTCTCACCACAGTCTGAAGGAACTTGTCACTTCCAGAGGTCAGAGGTTGGTCCAGAGCCTGACAGGCCCAAGGATAGCTGGGAGGAATCAGGTGTGGGTGATGAGCTTGGGCTCTGCTATCTCCTGGATGTGTGGCCTCAGGCAGATTACTGGATTTCTCTGAGCCACTTCTCTGAGTCCTTATCTGTACAGTAGAATCCCATCAGAAGAATCCTCTTAAGAGGGCTCAGCTCTATGCCTAGACAGCAGACATTTATAAAAAGCAATATGGAGAAATAATAAATAGCATAAGAGTCACTTCCTTCCCCACTTCCCTCCAGAATCGCTTTCTGTGCAGTCACCATGGAGGAGCAATGTGGGTCTGCGGCCCTTAACCAAGCTCAGTCCCAGATGGTCACTCCAGAGGAAGCATCTGTGAGCAAACAGTTGAGTGGTTTGCGCCTTATGAGTCTTGGGTTTGACCCATGTACAAGCTCTGGGGCCTCGCCAGTGCTAGGGGCTTCTGTGAGATGTAGACTTCCAGGTGGGAGGTGGCTGTTCCTCTTAACACAAGGGCTGTGTGTTATTTTAGTGTTCAGTGTTGAAGAAAGTGATGCCCTCTGGCTCCTGATCCTTGGTGTGCAGGCTGAAATATTCCTCTGGAATGTTTTAGGGGCTTCCCTTCATCCTTGGTCTGACACCTCCCAATACGGAGCTTAATAAGAGCCCCTTTGAGCCATATTTGGGACACTGTCCATCTGAGGGGCGTGTCCTGCAAAGCTAGGAATGTCTCTCCTTGTCTTCATCCCTTTTGTCCACTTGTTTCTTCAGAGTTTCAGGTGTTCTGATGGGGACCTCACAGACCCACTTTGAGATTTTCTTTCTTCTTGTCCTTTGCCTTTCTATATAGGCATATTCTCTGTCTAGAAAACATCTTACTGAGATTTTGATACGAGTTGCATAAACCTGTGCACGAATTGTGAGCATATTGACATCTTTATTATACTGACTCTTATAATCCATGAACGTGGTATATTTCTCTATTTATTTAGATCCTCTTAGATATTTTTCATCAGCATTGTGTGCTTTTTAGCATACAAGTCCTATACTTGTTTTGTCAGATTCACGCCTAAGTATTTCATTTTTTGAAGTGATTGTAAATGATACTGTATGTATTTTAGTTTTGGTGTCCATGTGTTCATTGCTAATATATAGAAATACAGTTGATTTATGTATGTTTGTCTTGTATCCTGTGACCTTGGCCAAACTCAATTAGTGCCAGGAGTTTATTTATAGATTTCTTGGGATTTGCTACATAAACAATTCTATCATCTGCAAATGACAGTTTTAATTCTTCTTTTCTGCTCTGTATGCCTTTTATTTCCTATTCTTGACTTATTGCATTGGCTAGAACTTCCAGCACTATATTGAATAAGAGTGGTGAGAGTGGATGTCCTTGCCTTCTTCCTGATCATAGGGGGAAAGCATCCAGTCTTCCACCATTAAGTGTGATGTTAGGTTGTGGGGTTTTTGCTTTTTACCAAGTTGAAGAAGTTCCCTCTCTTTCCTTTTTTTCCTGAGTTTTATCGTGAATGGGTGTTAATTTTTTTTTAATGCTTTTTCTGCATTAATTGATAAGACAATATGGTTTTTCTTCTTTAGTCTGTTAATATGGTAGATTACGTTGATTGATTTTTTAAAAATATTGAACCAGCCTTGCATCTCAGGAATAAACCTCACTTGGTCATGGTGTATAATTCTTTTTATAAATTGCTAAATTCTATTTGCTAATATTTTGTTAAGGATTTTACATTTATATTCATGAGGGATACTGGTCTGTAGTTTTCTGTATTGTCTGTCTGGTTTTGCCATCAGGTTAATACCTGTGTTCCCTTCTCATTATTTCCTTTCTTCTGCTTGCTTTGGTTGATTTTGCTCTTCTGCTAGTCCTTGACGTGGCAGCATAGATTATTGATTTGAGACTTTTCTTCTTTCCTAATAAGTGTATTTAGTGCTGTAAATTTTTTTCTGAGCATCCCTTTAGCTGTGTCCCACACATTTTGATATATTCATTTTCACTTTCATTCCCTTCAGTGTATTTTTTTATTTCCCTTGAGACTTCTCTTTGATTCATGGATTATTTCAGAGTGTGCTGGTTAATGTTTAAAGACTTTCCTGTTATCTGGATTATTGATTTCTAATTTAACTTCATTGTGGTTAGAGAATACACTGTGATTTTAGTTGTTTTAAATTTGTCATTTTTGTTTTATGGGCTGGGATATGATCTATCTTGATATATGTTCTGTGAGCTCTTGAAAAGGATATGTGTTCTGCTGTTGTTGGCTGAATAATATTCCATTGTATGTAATACACACCACATTTTCTTTATCCATTCAACCATCAATGGACACTTAGGTTGTTTCCATGTCTTGGCTATTATAAATAATACTGCAGTGAACATGGGGGTACACATTATCTTTGAGCTAGTGTTTTCATGTCTTTCAGATAAATACCCAGAAGTGGAATTGCTAGATCATATGCTAGTTCTAATTTTTGAGGAACCCCCATACTGTTTTCCATAGTGGTTGCAGTAGTTTACATTCCCTGTTTTTTTTATTAATGTTTACATGCTATATCTTTTCCCATCCTTTTATTTTCAACCTGCCTATATTGTTACATTTGTACTGAGTTTCTTTAAACAGTATAGAGTTGGGTCATGCTTTTTTTTTTTTTAAAGATTTTATTGGGGAATTGGAGAGGAACAGTGTTGGGGAATCGGGGAAGGGGAATAGACAAGTTGCTGTCCTTTTTTTGTTCTTCAGTCTAGTTGTGGAGGACGTGGCTTCACTGGCCCATGTTGGTATTATCATTGCACTCTTCCTATGTGAGGCAGTTGCTCGCCGGCCATTGGACGGCCACTCACGAAAGCTCACACCCACTACCAGCCAGACCCACTGCAGCTTACGAGTCGCCGGCGACTCAGGGCAACCCAGCTCCAGATCGAGCTGTTGTTCATCATCTTAGCTATAGAGGGTGCAGTGTCACTGGCCCTCATGTGGGATTCGAACCGGGGCCCTGCTGCTCAGAACTGACGTCCCAAGCCAACTCCTAACCAGCATGCCACTCGGCTGGCCTGAGTTGGGTCATGCTTTGAATCATGTTTTTTAACGCTCCGTGGGGCTCAACTGCTCTCACAGATTGTTTTGAATTTCTGTTGATTTTTGTACTGAATTTATATAATACATTGTTTTTACTCTGTGGCAAATTAAAATTTCATTCTGAATAAATAATAAGCATGCTTACACATTATTTTCATTCATTTTCAGTTTAAATAAAAAAAATGTCATACACTCATCTAGTAGATGCATTGCACCCAAACTCGTAACTTTTGCATTGCACCCGACAGAGGGTTAAGCCAGTCTGTCTTTTAATTGTTGTATTGGGTTGTTGGAAAAGTCATGACCCATTTTTGAAACGAAAAACATAGAAAAAAATACGTCAATATTTAGACCATTTACATTTATTTATTATTTTATTTTATTTATTTATTTATTTTAAGATTTTTATTGGGGAATTGGGGGATGGGAACAGTGCTGGGGAATTGGGGGAAGGGGAACAGACAAGTTGCTGTCGTTTTGTTCTTAAGTCTAGTTGTGGAGGACGTCGCCCCACCAGCCCAAGTTGGCACCATCTTTGCGCTCTTCCCGGGCGAGGCAGATCAGTCGCCGGCTTCTGGACATCTGCTCACTGCGGCTGCTGGCCGCTCACGCTGGCTGCTGGCTACACACGGTAGCCCATGGCAACCCACTGCCACAGGGACTGCAGCCTAG